CCCCCCCCCAACATGTGTGTTATGTGTTGTATGTGTCCCCCCAGACAAGCTATGGGTGGCCCCAGAACTGCTCCGGTCCGGAGAAAAGGGCAGCCAAGAGGGCGATGTGTACAGCTTAGCCATCATCATGTCAGAGATCATCTCACGTGAGGAGCCTTACAGCACGGACAAGGAGTACCTCACCACACAGGGTAACAAGTCCTTTTTGAGCATAATTAGGCTCACCACACAGGGTAACACATCCTTTTTGAGCATAATTAGGCTCACCACACACGGTAACGCAACACGTCCTTTTTTAGCATAATTAGGCTCACCACGCAGGGTAACACGTCCTTTTTGTAGCATAATTAGGCTCACCACATAGGGTAACACCTCCTTTTGAGTATAATTAGGCTCACCACGCAGAGTAACGCAACACGTCCTTTTTGAGCATAATTAGGCTCCCCACACAGGGCAACTGCACACGTCCTTTTTAAACACAATTAGGCTCACCATAAAGGGTAACTTTACAAGTCCTTTTAAAAATAATTAGGTTCACCATAAAGGGTAACGCAACACGTCCCTTTTGAGCCTAATTAGGCTCACAACACAGGGTAACTGCACAAGTTCTTTTTAAACACAATTAGGCTCACCATAAAGAGTAACTTTACAAGTCCCTTTTTAAACACAATTAGGCCCACCATACAGGGTAACTTTTTTGCATAGTTTGTTGACACAATCAGACTATCTTTCTATCGGAGATCTTTTCTCGGGAGGAACTTTACACAGGGAGTACCTCATCACAAAGAGCTATCTCCTACATCCTTTCTCACTATAAATGTAATTAGGCTCAACATGCATGGTCACATTTAATTTCTATATCCTTTTTATTTTTAGACACTATTAGTTTTGCCGTACAGAGAAACTGTTCAAGTAATTTTACTTATACAATTAATTAGGCTTCATGATGACATCAGAGAGAACATTTCCACTAAGAAGATGTATGTTCGGCACCAGACGTCCTGAACAAAGTGCGCGCGTCTTA